AAATACACATCAGAGTTCCTTGAAACCATAAGTTTTCCCAGAATTGTCAACATGCCTCAGCAGTTCTTACCCCAATATAATCCTATATAATAAAAGCCTAATATGCAAATCGACTGAATGGTGGAACGACTGGTCACTATGATGTGCACTGACCACCAGGGGGCAGGCGCTCAATGCAGGAGCTGCCCCGAGCCCACAAGCCCCAGGCCAAGAAGGTGACCAATGGCAACAGGGGGCAGGACCGGTGAGTGAGCGGCATCAGGCTGGCCAAGGTAGGTGCCAGCGGGGGGGAGGGGGGGGAACCGCGATCGCCCCACCAGTCACCCCACAGATAGGCCCTGATCGCCGGCTAGGCCTAGGGACCCTACCCGTGCACGAATTTCGTGCACTGGGCCTCTAGTATAATATAATTAACTAAAAATCTGACAAATGACCAAATAAGTAACTACTGAATTCTAAGCTCATACTGATAACTAAAACTCATTTGGAAAATGTCTCCAGCTGCTTTTTAAGGATTCTTCCATCCTGCATTTCTCCAGGGCAGCGAGGGAGGCTGGCCCAGGGCGATTCTTCAGGAGCTTACCATCAGTTTCCTGAGCAGTGGCTCACACAGGCAAAGCCCTCCCTGAGCTGGCTTCCCAGGCCTGGCGGGAAATGCCAAAGAGTGGGGGATGGGGTTGATTAGGGAGAGAGAAAAAAGAAAAGTCATGGATGAACTTATTCAAGTCAGGGTTTGTGGGATCCAGTTGGAAGATGATGATTCACAATGGGGATCATACACAGAATCTAAAAATGCCTGAGAATTTTATTTCCTGTAACTATAAAAACAAAAACAAAGCAAACCTACCACCCAGAGGCTTTCCTATCCCTAGGAAAAGGGGAGCCCAGAAGGAGCAATTCCTGAAGTTGCTCCTCCCCCTACATCCTGATTCACCAAGCCCGTAACTTTCAGAGCCTAGCTAAGTGCCCCACCCAATGAAGCAGGCTCACAGTATTACCCTCCCCTCTCTAGCAACCAGTATCTGATCTTGCAGATGCAAGAATTTCCCTATTTTTCAAACACCCTCCCCTTCCTCCTCTCCTTCCTTGTTGTTCAGCCATTGTCATTTCCTTGGAGGAAGCAGGACACAGAATGCTTGAGGGGTCTAGCTTTGGAAAAATAATAATGAAAATGAGATTTGTGGATAAATTCTAGGTCTTATCAGCCATCTCTTTGCCTTTATCCTCTTCCAAATGCTACCCATGCTTCATGGTCCAGGTTAGATTCTACCTCTTCCAGGAAGCCTTCCAAACTACCTTCTGCAGGGCTTCAAAGAAATCACCTAAATGGCTCCATCAGAAGAGCTACCGTGCTATAGAATATCACTCTGTGTGTCTTTCTCCCCACTAGATAGAAACCTCCATGAGTTTAGAGTCAATAGCTTGTGAGTGTTGTAGCCCCAGAATCTAACAGTGTCTGACATGTAACATATGCTCAATAAATACATGTACATTCATTGAAATAATTACAGGCCATACCTTTTTTTTTCTAACCAAAAAACAATTATTATGTGTACGTGTATGTATGAAAATATTAAGCATGCTACTAATTTAACACCATTACATCATCTGGCAATGTTAAATATGAAAATCTTAGTTTCTCATGCACATCAACAGGTAGTACAATTTCTGTAATTCTTTATGGCTATATCTGTCTTGATGAGCATATGCCTTTATTAAATAAGAATTATGCCCAGGGATTTTTAATTGTAAGAAAGAGAACCTGAGAGAAATGAGGCTACTCCATCTTGCCTGGAGTCAGGAGTCCCTTAGCTTCTTTTCATCCAATACATTTGACAGTTAATTAAATACAATTTTGTAGCATTCCCTGGTTGTTTCCATTTATTCTAGCATCCCAAAGAGCACACTGCGTAGAGGGAACTCCAGTCAAACACCCAATTTAAATTTGATTAAAATTAATGTTATTCACGTAATTTACTGGTTTGTCTGCCTTTTCTCACTGGCCCTGGAGAGCTACCATTCCATTGGCCTTTTCCCATCCAGATCCCATGGAGGATGATCAGTGTGCAATGAGCCAAGGGCAAGTGGGCTTGGTATACAGAAAAGGCCAAATCCTTCTTTAACTGTAACTTGGTCATTCAATGGCCTATAGTGACCAGAACTAACGTTACCTGAGTTCATGAATGATGCCAATGGGTTTGCACAATCATCGCCATCAGTCATCCTACCAGACCCGGTACCCGCATCTCACACATAGTCAGTGCCGCAAGCAACCTATGTAATAACCAGAAGCCGTGTGCAATCTCTCTGGAATGTTTCCATAGGGGCTGTTTTAGTCCTACAAACTGAAAAATAAAGGCTCGCCTAAAGATAATTAAACCTGACCTAACACTAGCGATGCTCTGTGTGTCTAAATTAAACAAGAAGGCAAGACATCTTACAAAGATTGCAATCGGGTCTTGTGGTCCTTAATCACGTACAAAGTCCTGGTTGAAACCAATCCAGGGCGGCTCAGAGGAATGGTCCTTTCTTTTCAGAAAAAGTGAAACTAAAGTAGGACCCAACCATGGCCACTTAACCCAGCTCCCATTCCCACCCCAACCCTCCCCATTCTGCAAAGCCTGGCTTGAGCTCCTTCCCCTCTCCAGACACTAACCAGCACCCTCTCCTCCGATTCCTCCTGGTTTGAACACCCCCCCCCCTCCGCCCCACCCAGAATGTAAGTATGTAATGCTGCTTGCTGTTTGCTGCTCTGCTTGCTTATGGAAAGTAGATACCTCCCATTCTTTATTTAATAAACCCACCTACTTGAGAATCATCTTCTTTTTTGCTGAAAACCCCACATCTAGCACCGAACTCAGAGTCAGGTGAATAACAGCTACTCATTAAAGCCATGCCTACCGGTCACATTTTCTAGAAGTTTAGTGGGAGGTTTATAAAATGACTCTTCACAGCATTCCTTTCATTTGGTGAAGTTAAATATGATTCCCTTTAGGAAAATCAGATGCACAGGCATCTGTAGAGTGAGGCGTGTTGTGTTCCCCTGACTAGTGGCGGCACAGGACAAAGTTGCTCCCGTAACTGTGGCTGCTGGGCAGTGGCCTGAGAAAGTGTTAGTAAATCTCTGAACCACAGAGGAAAGTCTCTCCTCTCCCCGGCCTCACCCGCAGCCACCCAGACCCCAATCTCCACGTCAGTTTGGTTATTGTTTTCCCATATAGGAAACCCATGGTGTCATTCACCACCATGTTGTGCTCCCAACACTGCCTCACGATGAGGAAGTCAGCCTTGATGTTCTGAGATGCACCAGGAGAACACCGCTGGCCCGGAAGATACCCATGCTCATGCCCCCACACATTCACCAAGGGGTGCAGGGCAGCTGCTCCTCCACAGTGACTGCCCACGCTCCACCAGCTACAGGGGACTCACAGCTAGACTGGCCCCTCCCGGGGTGTTAGTGCACACCTACAAGGTGTGAGGCCGTCGGACAGGCACCGGGGAGATAAAGACATACTGGACACATTTCTCACTAACCTAGAATTATGTTCAAGTGGAGAAGAGAAGAAAGTTGACTTTGATCCTCTATCATCATGTTGGGCCTTTGTGCGTGTACATATACACACAAATGCACAGACCCACAGACCTTTGGCCCTTCGTAAGGCACGTAAAAAACAAGGGCAGCTAATATAGTCCTGTGCTTGTTCAGAAAAGGGATTTCCACATTTTCTGAGGATATTTCTTTCTTCTGAGGGATCAGAGGGATTAGAAAAATTCCATTAGATGTGGTTCTCACTCTGGAATGGTGGGGATCAAATAATTACGAAATAGTAGATTACATAAAAGTAACTTTTTTTCATTGCAGGTCTCCTCGGGGACTTACTGAAGCAAGTGTATGTTGAGATACTCCAAGAGAAGTCAAGATGGCAGCGTTTCAAAGTATGTGCCACAGAGTCCTTCATTCTTAGAGTTTCCCAAGTGAGGAGGGTTCTGAGAAGCACTCTTTGAGAAACAGTGCGCCAAAGAGACATAAGTTCCCTGAAGTCAGGGTCTCTACCTTGCTCACCAATGTATCTCCAACACCTGGCACCAGGGAATGATTCGATATAATATAATTAACTAAAAATCTGCCAAATGACCCAATGAGTGACTGTTGAATTCTAAGCGGAAAGACATGCATTCACAATGACATGGGGGTGATTCTGTGCCAAGAGCAGGGGCTCGTCTCTCCATGATGGCACCTTCACGGTCTGGGCTCCCAGTGGGCACAGTAAGAGTTTCAGGTAAGGTTACCTTCACCTTTGCAAGAAGCCGAGAGCTACAAATCCATAAGGCATCCTAAGAGACCTTGACCTTTTTTATTTTTTCCCCCTAATAAGAGCTTCATAAAGAATGCTGGCATTTCTCTTCCTCACTCAGAATAAGAAACAACTCAATCAGAGGTCAGACTTTCTGATGTGGTTACAGATCATCTTTGTTTCTTTACTGCCACCTTCTGGTAACCGGGTTCCTACATGATAAATTTAAAATGCTGCTTATTTGTATTGCCCTATGGCATTTTAAGCACTTGTTTACATCCTTTACCTCCTATGACATTATGCAAGCTAGGAGCGGTGAGGGTGGCCTTTATTCTTTTTCATTTGCCCTCAAAACAGCATAGAGCTTTAGTGATTTGCGCAGGGATAAGTTAGAGCAGAGCCAGAACGAACCACACCTGTTGGCTGGGCTTAGTCATTCGGCTTTGTCCAGCTATATCTGCAAAGAGTTCCGCGGCTCGCTCTCATCCCCTCACAAGCATAATCCTGGATGGAAAATTCCAGGCCTTTACAAAAGAGGACGCTTTTCAAATACACCCTGATCTTCTCAAGGGTAAAATCCATTCCACTTTACAAGGTTTTTGAGAAAGAATGTAGAGGGTCTATAATTGATCTTTCATCAGACAGTTAAGATGTCCCCCAGCACTGCCCCATGATGGCGACCCACCAGCTTCGGCCTAAGCATACCTTGGTTTGGAAGCAGCAATAGAGTTGGGTTAGGTACGGGTGTTTCCGCGCTAGAGCCAAAATCCTCTTCTCTGTCATCGTGCAGTCCACATCGTCGTCCTGAAGGATGACGTCCTTCTTTAAGACTTTCACAGCATATACTTCGTCTTTGCCTTTGAGCTCCGCCAACATGACCTGCAATCAGTCAAAACCACCCTGTCAGTATATACATGTAGGGAGAGAAGAAACACGCGTCAATACCAAGTGCTTAAAAATGGACTCCTTTCTATCATTTTAAATAGTATCAAAGCTTTTAAAAATGTCTAGAGAAACTACCCATCCCAATACAGCTACTACCACTTAATTACTTTTAATCTCTAACACAGTGTCTGAGCAAAGAAAAGTTCAATGCACATCTGTTAAATAATTATCTACATGTTTATATACATTTGTCATACTTGCACTTAGAGTATGGTAAATATAGCATAGTGTGTTTTTTTTTAACCAGACAGTATTTCATAAGCATCTTTCTACACAGTCTTCATCTTTATCATGGTGTCTGATAATTCAAGTAAATATATTACAAGTTATTTAAACTTTTACCTCCTAGGAAACACTTGAGTTACAAGTAATTATTAAGTACTATATAAAAATTGCAAAGAATATTTTTGTACATATAATTTCTTTCTTTCTTTTGAATCATGTCCTCAAGATAGAAAGTGGTGGAAGTGGATTATGGGGCTAAATATTTGCACATGCCTAACTGATTTTCAAAAAGGATGTACAATATAATGTGCCACTAGCAAAGGAGACGTGCTTTAGTTTCCCAGCGATTTACCAACATTGGGTGCTTCACTTAAAAAGCTATGTTGTTCATGTAATGAGTGTGAAATGTTACCTCGGTGCTGTTTTAACTTGCAATAAACTTTTTAAATATTTGTTTTCTAAGTAAATTTCTTTTGTGTGAACTATTTGTCAGTTTCCTCTTACGTATTTGTATGCACTTGGTCCATAAACATACTATCACTTTACTTTCTGTAAAGGTTTTTCTAAATTTGTCTTATAATTTTCTGTTCTTTTTTTCTATTAAACAGGATTATTTATCTTGTTGTAGTTGAACCTGCCCTTGTTTATCTTTGTGGTTTCTTCTGTAGCTTTAAAGCTGGGAGTTGTGATTCCTTCTCCAGAGAACCAATGAACAATTCTGTTTCTTAAATTTGTTTTATCATTTGATGTTTTTGCACTCATTTCCCTACAAATGTGACAAGCCTTTCTCCCATTCAATAACTTAACTCCTCAGTACAGTTCCAGGGTAAATGTTAGAACTAAAGAGCAGTAACTCAGAAGCTTAATGAGGGAATTCGGGGTGTTACTGTGAAGGCATTTAGTTGCCCACATAAAATGCAAACTCTTTAAAACTGGCTCACTGTGACTGTGATTTTTCCTAAGAAACAATCTAGATGCTTCAGAGTCATCAGAGTTCCCATTCTGCCCACACGCCATATGGAACCCTGTAGCCTTTGAGGCTGCTCGTTCCCCATGAATCTTGCTCACAATGAAAGCTGCTCACATCCTTGAGTTATGCGGGCCGGAGGACTGGGCTCTGCTTCTTATTTAGCCGTCTCTAAAGAATGTGATTACTTCAGCCTTTGCCATTTAAGTAGATCCAGTTACTTCCTGCAGCATTGATCTCAGACTGAGATGGGGCAGGTGAGATGGGCCAGGAACCAAGCTCTGTACCCTGGGGGCTCACAGAGCCATTCTCCTAGAAGTGGAGTGGCTCTGTCCCCCAGCAAGCCTCCTGACCCACAGCCTGACTCGTGAGGGCATGTGATCCCCAGGAGGTCCCAGAGGCAGGTGCCTGGGCTCCAGGGTAGGGGCCTCTCTACTCCGGGAGGTCCTCAAAAAACAATGCTCATCCACTCCCAGGCATGGCTTTGCGAACAGCCGAAGAGCCGAAGAGCAGAGATCACAGCTGAAATGTTAACCAGCTTCTTAGGCTCTCTGCCTGTCCATCTCTTTTCTTTAAAGAATTTTTTTATATATATTTTATTGATTTTTTACAGAGAAGAAGGAAGAGGGATAGAGTTAGAAACATCGATGAGAGAGATCGATCAGCTGCCTCCTGCACGCCCCCCAGTGGGGATGTGCCCGCAACCAAGATACATGCCCTTGACCGGAATCGAACCTGGGACCCTTCAGTCTGCAGGCCGATGCTCTATCCACTGAGCCAAACCGGTTCAGCTAAAGAATTATTTTTATTGATTTCAGATAGGAATGGAGAGAGATAAAAAAAAATCAATGATGAGAGAGAATCATTGATTGGCTGCCTCATGCACGCCACCTTCTGAGGACTGAGCCCGCAACCTGGGCATGTGCCCTGACTGAACATTGAACAGTGACCTCCTGGTTCACAGGTCAATGCTCAATCACTGAGCCACACCAGCCAGGCTGTCCATCTTTTTTTCTAAATGAGCAGGAATTATTTTTCCATCGCACCCCACCTTCAGAATGGTGGCTGATCACCAGGCATGCTATATTTGAGCACCCTCTGCATCCACACTCCATACCCTGTGTCCGTCCCAGTTGGGAGCAGGATAGGGAGGATGGCAGCAAGGGCAGAGGACCCTGATCCAAGAGAGGAGGTGATGATTCTCACTTTCTGGCACAAACAGAGGTTAAACAAAGCGTTTAGTAAGTGCCAGAAAAGTCAGTTACGTAACAGTTAACTTCCACGGTAACATGTGCTAAGACTTGTTTTGAGCCCCAAGTTCACAGAGGGCACACATGTTGGAGTTCATTTTCAAAGTCTATATAATGAATTAAAACCAGAACTTCAGATGACTCTCTGATGGAGGGAAGAACAGTATTGTTTCCATTATTGATAATGGAATGCCAAGCACATGTAAAGCAATTTAAACTTTTCAAAATGCTTTCTCACCTATTATGTCACTTGATTCCCATCCCTATTTGACAAGTGGGCTACACGGAATCCCAAAGAAGGAAAAGGCCCACACTAACATCCCCCAGACAGTTAAGAGCAGAACCCCAGTTCCTATCTGCTTGGCCTCAAGCCACTTCCACTCAATAAGGAAGGAAAATAGAACAAGACCAGGCTGAAAGGTTCATCTTATATCAAACAAATGAGGGGGCAGATGCCCAGGGCAGAGAAAATCAGCAGTTTTACCCACACAGGCCACAGACCTTGCCAAAGCTGCCTTTGCCCAACACTTTGATGAAGTTGAACTCGTCCAGGCCCAAGCGCTTGGTCTGGCCTTGCCGGACTTCACCGTTCTCTCCGGGGCTCGCCAGCTGGCCGTCGGTGGACCCTGCTGCCCTGTGCTCCTCCCCTCGGTTGTCAAATGACAAGGCCTTCCGGATGTTGTTTTCAAGTTCTTTTAATTCTAGAGCCAAGGGAGACAAGATAATGCATTAGTGCACAGCTCATGAGTCCTCAGATCTCAGAATTTCACCCGCATGAGTCCCCACCATTTTTTTTGGCTTTTCATAACAACAGATCCGGTATGGCATTCCTTTATGTTCCTTCATTTATACACTTTCATTGGCACTTAACATACAGCAGGGCCTAGGCATGCAAAGAGGAGGACACAGCCCAGCAACCAACTCCTTCAGCATAGACTGGGCCACGGCCACCTCTCTGAAAGCCCCCTTTGGCTAGTGGCCTGTCCAGTTGTTCTTGGTTAGTGCAAGAATCCCAGCCTTCTTGGGAACCTTGCAGAGTTCCAAAGGCCACGGATAACCTTTGAGTTTCCTTTGAAGATTAGAGTAACGACTCACTGAGAATTGTCATCACAGTAATCTTGGTGATGGAATTATTTCATCTTCTATAGGACTTTATGTGGCTTTGTTGCTGGGTTTACTCTAAATACCCATCCCATGCAAGGTTATTTAACAAAACAAGCAAGGAGCTTATCATTAACCAAAGAACTGCTTCCCCACAGGGACATGCTGCAAATGTATCTCAGATGGGGCAGGATTCTCAGTACAATTTCACAATGGTGAGGCCGGAGGGACGCAAGGCTGTAATGCAAACTCCCTGGGGCTGATAACGCTGGGTGAGCCTTAGACCTCTTCTCTTTGAGGAAGCTTTATTGTGAGCTATTACTTCACCCAGATGCACATTCCTCTTGTAGATATGGGCAGCTTGAGCATAATCCAATTTTAAAACACTCGTGAATAACACTGGGATTACACAAGAGGAACATAGACTCTAACTCGTGGGAATCAGAATCAGGCATGAGCGACCAGGAGCTTGACCTAAAGAGATCTTCAGCTTCTTTCAGAAGACTGAGGCCCACGGCAGCTCACTCGAGGAACCTGGGATCTTTCGTAGATCTGGTGTTTGGCTCCGCTGAGAAGGGGAGGCATGGGGAGAGCTTCTGAGCCTTCCGCTATCCCCCAACCCAATCGGCAGTTTCCTATCACATACTCTTCACTAAATATAACTTTTAGTCTCAGCATAGAGCAAAAAGTCTGTTTCCAAGGCAAGTTATTAAATGGATTTTGGAAGATAGAACTTGGGTGTTTAGGGATACTGAAGCTTGAAGAAAATGTCTATGTTCTTACAATGGAGCAAAGAGAAACTGTGTCTTATTTCTTTTTCATAATAATGCCAGGTCTTGCTAAGAGGGTTTTCACATCATCTGTGCACATGTCACTGCTGGGTAATACTGGTACCTGCATTAACTGGGGACAGAGAGAGGCCCTGGGAGGTACTGCGCCCTGCCAAGGCTGGGCAGCACACTGGGCAGAAACCACATAGAAAATGGGTCACCTCCCTCTTACTTAGGGTCTCTTTACCATAGGACCCCATCTCCTTGAAGTTCTCAAAGGGAAACAGGAAAACACCCACGCTGGTCCAGGATAATACCTGCTCGTCTGGAGCTCACTGAGCATCATCAGATGCCTTACAAATGGGTTCAGCCTCCTTTGGACTGATGGACAAGTTAAGCAGAGCAGCACAAAGAGAGAGTGAGACCAATTATTTTGTGGCCTCAGGACTGGCACACTGCCCCGCAGCTGTTTTATTTACTCCTGGGTACGAAGAGCTGGGTCACATCTGCAGGGTAAGATGACCTGGGAGGCGAGTTTGATGGCACAGACTTGGAGAGTGGGGTCCCTAAGCCAGTAGGGGCATGGTCTTGCCCTTTACCACTGGCGTGGATCCACTAACCTTTGGACAAATCTTTGCAAGTCTCTGACCTTCCACTTCCCACCATGTAACATGGGGACAGTAACGGAGCACCAGCATAGAGTTGGTGTGAACACAGAATTTGGATAATGACCACAAAAGGGGCTTCAAGATACCCAGTCACTCTAACGCAATACAATTAGTCCTGCTCTGCAGATGCGTATTTCCCTCCCTAGTAACGCCTGGTTCTGGTCACCAGAGGGGAAGTTTGAAGTGTCTAAGTCCCTTCTCAGCTTCACCATTCCGCCAGCAGAATCAGAAACCTCTGCCCGGCCAGCGTGGCTCAGTGGTTGAGCATCAACCTATGAACCAGGAGGTCACAGTTTGATTCTTGGTCAAGGGCACATGCCTGGACTGCCAGCTTGATCCCCAATTGGGGCGTGCAGGAGGCAGTTGATCAATGATTCTCTCTCATCATTGATGTTTCTCTCTCTCTCTCCCTCTCCCTTCCTCTCTGAAATCAATAAAAATACATTAAAAATTAAAAAACAAAACAAGAAACCTCTGATTACTTTACACTCATCCCTATGGGGAGGAAGGAGATAGCCTGAGCTGAGCTTGAGAGAGGAGCGAGGCCCAGAGCTGGCTTCCTGCCCACTTCTTGCAGTCTCTTCCCCAGCTTTGTCCTATCTCCACCCACCCACCCATCCTGGCCAGGAAAGGAGACGTCCTCCCCACCCATCCCCTGACTCCTGCCCTGATCTAAGGTTTCGGGTGTGATGGTTAGAGTCAGAAGGAATTAAGTCAAACTGAGTGATGCTGACAGGCCTGGAGGCTGACACTGGGGCCCAGTGGTAAGAGAGGGGGCTGAATGCCCTCCCTCTCCTGCACTCGGAACCAGGGAAAAGAAAGAACCACAGCATCGAGTGCTCCTCCTCTCTTACTCAGGCCTGGAAGGGATTTAAGGTAGAAAGGCATTTAGTGCCTTGCCCTCAAGACAGCCTTGTAGAGTGAAGGAACCGCTAATGAGTCAATAGGGCCACTGGCTGTTTTGGGAACGCAGGGCCATTCTTGGGTAGGGAAGCCTCAGCTCCTCTGAACTTCTGATGACCAAGCTCAGAGGTAAAGAAGCAAATCCGAGGGTCTCACCCTGGTCACAAGGGGAGGTGGGTGCTGACTTGGACCGGTCTTCCTCAGAGGGTGAGCCTCCAGAAGCGGGCTGCGGGGACTCGGCACCAGCAAGGAGCTAGAGAGGGGGGAGAGGAAGAGGGGAGAGAGGCGTCAGAAGCGAGGGTGGCGAGTTTCCCTGAGGCCAAAAGCTTCAAGATCCCCTACCCAGCACCAAAGGGGTTCCTGGTGCAGTAACACTGCTGAATTGATCGTCTGAAAGCATAGTCTCAAGGTTTTCTTTGCCAGTTAAAGGGAAGAAAACAAGAGACTTCAGTTTGTTCAATTATCATTCTGCCCAAATACAAGTGACCTTTTTAAGCAAAACTCAAGCATACCCCCTTTCATAAAATCTCCCTCGCCTGTTCAAGCGATGCAATTTACCTTATCCAAAGCAACGTGACACGGTCTTACCACCAGTTTGGCATTTACTCATTGTCTTGTTCAGCTCTAGTTAATACTCTCTGTATGTGTATATGATGTGGGGCTCTCTGCTCAGGTAGACTATGGGTTTTTTGCAGGATGGTATTGGTATCGTCCTGGTGACTCATACAAAATGATACATATACTAATAGATGCTCAGTAAACACTTTCAGATGTACTGATATTTGTTAGCAAAGTTTAAAAGAACACTCCCAGTGAACTCTCGTTTTTACACAAATGTTGGCATATCCATTTAAGTTCCCATTAAAGTCTGAGGTTTGGACTAAGAGACCACAGGCATTTCTGTTCCCTTTTCCTCTTGGTCTACCAGCTGTGTGTACACGTCCTTTCTGGATGATGGACTGACTACTTGCAAGGGACAACATGAAGGAAACAAAAAATCCAGCGAGCCCGACTCTCCTGCAAAGAAGCCCTTATAGTTTCTGACCAAGGGCACTTGTCTCCCATCCTCTTATACAAGCCTGAGCTTATACTTAGTTCACTTAGCTTATTTCTAGCTTTTGCATCAAGGCATTGCAGCAATAAAAATACCAGGACTGAACTCCCTTTGTCTTCTACTCTACTTCTTTCTGAATTTCTCCATGTTGGCTTCTTGCCACCGGGTTCCCCAAATCCAAGATAGACAGACGATGCCCACATAAATATGAGGAAGAGGGCAGGTACTGAGTTTTCTTTTAAATGCTTCATGACAATCAATATTGTCTCAATTTACTTCTAGCAAGGAAAAACAAAAACCCGTCTCCTGAAAATGGCTCTCTCTAGAGCTCATCAATGTGTGTGTGTGTCCAGCCTTGTAATCACAAGGTGTTTGTACCTCCTGCCTCTTCAGCAGGGCCCTAGCACTCCTGGGTGCTGACATTCTGCTTGCAATGTCAATGCCTTAGGTCAATAACTTAAGTCCTGTTTCAACCAGTGGGGTATACAGAGCTGAGAAGAGCCACCAGAAGCCCAGAATCTCACAGTCAACCATTAAAATAGACTTCATTTCTGCAACTCTTGCAGAAACAGCTTTCTTGATTGGGAAGGTAGAGAAGCAGCAGCTTAAGAAGATGAAAACAATCCACACCTTCCCATTCAAGGGAGAAGGCTCTTCTGAGAGGCACCAGGGAAAAGGCATGGGCAGCTTCTAAAATGAGAAGGGAAACACAGAGCCCTTCAGAAGGTGTTTTATGGCAAAATTTAGAAGAAACACTTAGGGGTCAGGATGGTAGAGGCACCCAGAGCTAGACGTGCTTTTCTAGGGAAAGCTTGAGACTACCTGATGCCGGGCAATGAGGGCCACTGTCCACCCACCGCCACCAGGATTTTCTTGCCCAGTTAACTTGGTTCTGATTTTGTCATAACTTACTTTTTCAAAGATCGCTTACATTTTCCAGGTTAGCAGCCAAGGATAAAAAGGCCCTTCAAAGCAAATGCCATGGGTACCCTTTAGCTCTATTTGCATCTGTGGGCCCTGACTTACCAAAACAACAATTTAGCAAACAGATCTCTTCCTACTGACATTCAGAATGTCACATGGACAGAGACAGGGCTTTGGTCTGCAAAGAAAAGCCCAGATGTTTCATGTCATGGGGCATTAACCATGTCCCCGGGGCAGGCAAGTGCCGGCGCTATCACAGATCTTGGCTTGCTCCCTAGAAAAGAATGTGGCTCCAGCTCTTCATCCCTTTATCCTCATCGCAGTGATAGCAGGGCAAAGTGCAAACACTGACATTGCTTTCATGCCAGTTCTGGAGGCAGATGCGTCTATTTCCTTGTCTAGAGCTGGCCTGCTTTTTCTAGAAGAAATTCTAAAGTCCTCCTCTAAGCTCCCCTGAGAAACGTAACACTTGAGGCTCCCCCTCTTCTGGAACTGAAGGAGACTTTAATGTTACCTGCCTAGCCTCTATTTCTTTTCCTTTCAAGCACATGCTGTTTTGAGTACAGTGTCTCAAACCCAGCAATCTTGTAACCTCACTCCAAGGCACTGCCAGGAAGCCAGCGCAGAGATGCGGGCCCACAGAGAGCTCCAGAAACACCACCGAGTGGCCTGTTACCTTTTTCCTCCTCTGGCCACTGTTGGTGATTTTGTCTGGGGTGACGCCAAGGTCTGCCAGGACTTTGGCGATTCCTCTGGCGTCCACTCCACAGTTGGGAGCCACGTTGGTCTCGCAGCGTCGGTGGACGTTCATCTTGCAGACTATAAGGAGACATGGAAGAGAAACTTCACAGTGTTCATGGCCTAAAACTATAATTTTTTTTCTTTCTAATTGTTAAGTACTGCGTGTGCATTGATAGGATTTGGGAAATGCAGAAAGACAAAAAGAGGAAAATAAAAATCACCCATCATCCCATCACACATAACTAAAATCATCCATGAAACCATCACACACAGATAACCACTGTTTATCAATTGAGTAAATGTCACATTTGCACTTCCTTTCAGGGAACAGAACACTGACTGTGGAAGAATTTAATTGGCTTATCTGAAGCAACGTTCACTTGGATTGTGAACCCAAAGGGGTCACATGTACACGGTCTGTTCTATTACTCTGTTGAAAGGTGGGAATATTACCCAGAGAGGAATGCCCCAAAGAGAGCCTATTAAAATGTCATCTGAGCACAGCCAGCGTGGCTCAGTGGTTGAGCGTCGATCTATGAACCAGGAGGTCACAGTTCAATCCCAGGTCAGGGCACATGCCCGGGTTGCGGGCTTAAGCCCCAGTGTGGAGTGTGCAGAATGAGGCTGGTCAATGATTCTCTCTCATCATTAATCTCTCTCTCTCCCCTCCTCGCAGAAATCAATAAAAATATATTTTAAACAAAAGATGTCACCTGAAAATGAGGATATTGGCCTGGCCGGTGTGGTTGAGCATGGACCCATGCACTATGAGGTCACTAGTTTGATACTGGGTCAGAGTACATGCCAGGGTTTCCAGCTCAATTCCCAGCAGGGGGTCTGCAGGAGGCAGCCAATGGATGTTGTTATTTCTCTCTCATTAATGTTTCTCTCTCTCCCTCTCCCTTCTTCTTTCTAAAAACAAACAAACAAACAAACAAACCACACATATTTTTTTAAAAAAAGAGGACATTGAATGAAGTGACCTCCAAGGAACCTTTCAAACCTAAAATCCAATTTCAACAGAACAAAAGCCATGCCGGAATGTCACTTGACCTACATCACTGAGTTCTTGGTATAGGACATCAAAGGAGAAAACAAACTGTTCTGGTTTCCAGTCCAGCATGTAAGGAGTTGGAAGTAGTCACTCTGTCCTAACAAGTAAAAAGCTGAACAATCTGAAAAATCAACAACTCTTCTTGGATTTATTAGATAAGAAGGTCACAGGGCAAAGCGCTGGCTCCAAAATGGGAGAGGCAGGCAACTAAGGTGAATCAGAAGAGAAACTCCCAGCAGCAACCTCTATGGGAACCAGTGCTGTGGTAGGAAAATCTGAACTGAAATTGGCAAATTGCTGGAGTCTCAGAGAGGACAAGTCTGAGGGTCAAAAACTCTAGGCAGACCTGGTCATGGGGGTTCCGCACTTTTGTGAGTTTTACCAGGTTCCCATGGTGAATATTGGGGGGGGGGTTACTTATGCTTCTTGCAGAAGGAAGGGAAAGGAAACCATTGGACATACTCCAGGGCACTCCAGAGCCTAAACTATTATAGTTTTATCAGATCCTAACTGATCTGAGGGAGGAAAAATACCCAATACCAGCCTGCTCTAGCGTCCTTCCTGTCCCACCTACGAGGGGAGAAAAATCTGAACTTATAAGTTCACAGTCCAGAGGCACAGGCTCACTGAAAGACAGATCTCCTCACAGGGCCACGGAGCCTTCCCTTCCCAACACCGCACCATCACTACAGCACATCAAGTCCGGTAGCAAGAAAAAAATCACAAGGTGTACTAAAAGGGAAGAGACAGATCAAGCATCAAAACCAGAACCAGGGATGCTGGGATTATCAGACTAGACATTTAAAACAACTACAATTAATATGCTGAGGGCTCTGAGCAATAAGGTAGACAGCATGTAAAAGCAGATGGGCACTGTTAAGCAGAGAGATTGAAATTCTAAGAAAGAATCAAAAGGAAATGCTTGAGACCAAAACACTAGCAGATATGAAAGAGGCCGTTAGTAGAAAAAAGAATCTCTGAACTTAAAGAAATGTCAATAGAAACTTCCCAACAGAAAAAAAAGACAAAAGACTTAAAAAAAGGGGGGGGGGACAGAATACCTAGGAATTGTGCGACAACTAGAAAACGTATATGTTAGGGGAATGGTAGAACGAAAAGAGAGAAAGGAACAGAAGAAATATCTGAAGCAAAAATGACTGAAAATGTCCTTGAATTAATGTCAGACACCAAAGCATAGATCCAGGAATCTCCGAGAATACCAGGCAGGATAAATTACCAAAACAAAAATAAAAGGCAAACAACAAACTACACCTAGGCATATCATATATGAACTGCAGAAAATCAAAGATAAAGAAAAATAATTGTGAAAGAAGCCGGAAGGAAATAACACCTTACCTATAGAGGAGTGAAGATCAAAAGTACACCCGGCTTCTCAGAAGCCATGCAAGCAAGAAGAGAGTGAAGAGAAATACTTAAAGTATTGAGAGGAAACACCAACCTAGAATTTTGTGCCCTGTGAAATTATCTTTCAAAAGTGAAGGAGAAATAAAGACTTTCTCAGACAAAATTATGGGGAATTTGTTGCCAATAGACCTGCCTTGCAGGAAATGTTAAAAAGAAGTTCTTCAGAGAGAAGGAAAATGATGTAGGTCAGACACTCAGATCTACATAAAGAAAGGGAGAGCATCAAAGAAGGAATAAGTGACATTAAAATAAAACTTTTTTCTTATTCTTAATTGATCGAATAGATAACAGTTTTAAAAATAATAGCAGCAATGTATTTGATTATGGTGCTTATACATATCATGTACATAAGTATATATGCTTATGTATAAGTAAAGTGAATGACAGCAATAATTCATGGAGTGGGAGGAAAGAATTAGGATTATTTTGTTATTATAAGCTATTTGCACTACCCACGAAGCAATGGAGTGTTATTTGAAAGTGGAATGGATTGTAAATGCATATTGCAAACTCTAGGGCAGCCACTAAAATAAGTAAAAAAGAATAACTGATATGCTAAGAGAAAATGGAATCTTATAACATGTTCAATTAAAACCACAAAAGGCAGAAAGAATGAAAGACAAAAACAGGGACAAAGGAAAGGGGCATTAAATAAAAAACAGTAGCAAAACCGTGGTTCTTAATTCAACTATATCAATAATCACTTTAAACCTCACTGGTCCAAATATACCAATTAAAAGAGCTTGTCAGAAAGGATCAAAAAGTAAGACCCAACTATGTGTTGTCTACAAGAAATGCACTTGAATTATAATACACATACAGATTAAAACTAAAGATATAAATAAAGATATACCATGCTAACACTAATTTAAAAAAAGTAAGGAGCAGCTATAGTAATTTCACAACTCTCAGCAACCAAGAAATAGAGGAGAACTTTCTCAACTTGAAAAATCACATCTACAAAAACCTAAAACTAACATTATGCTTAATGCTCATAAAGAACTATTTATCCACAACAGGCAAAGAACTTTCAAAAGTCAACAACTAGAAAATAAACAAGCCAACTGAAAAAATGGGCAAAAGACCTGAGCAGAAACCTCACCTAATAAAATATACAGATGATATAAAAGCACATGAGAAGATATTCATATGTCATTAGGAAATTGCAAATTAAAATGAGGTACCACTACACAACGATTAGAATGGCCAAAATCCAAAACACTGACAACACCAAATGCTGGTGAAGATGCGGAGCAATAGGAACTCTCATTCAGTGCTGCGGGGAATGGAATGGTATAGCCACTTTGGAAGACAATTTGGTAGTGTCATATAAAACCAAACATACTCTCAGCCTGGCCCGCATGGCTCAGTGGTGGAGCATCAACCTATGAACCAGGAGGCCATGGTTCGATTCCTGGTCAGGGCACATGCCCAGGTTGCAGGCTTGATCCCCAGTATGGGGTGTGCAGGAAGCAGCCGATCAATGATTCTCTCTCATCACTGATGTTTGTATCTCTCCCTCTCCCTTTCTCTCTGAAATCAATAAAAATATGTTTTTTAAAAAATTAAAAAATAAAACCAAACATACTCTTAGTATACCATCCAGCATCACACTCCTGGTATTTACCCAAGTGAGTTGAAAACTTATTTTCACACAAAAACCTGCACACATTGGAATGTTTACAGCAGTTTTATTTATAATTGCCAAAACTTGTAAGCAACCTAAATGTCCTTCAGTAGGTCAATGAATAAATAAACTGTGGTAAATTCATACAAGGCATACTATTCAGCACTAAAAATAAATTAGCTATTAAACCATGAAAAGATGAGGGAAGCTTAAATGCATATTTCTAAGTGAAAGAAACCAACATATTTAATACATTCTATGATTCCAGTGATGTGACATTCTGGAAAAGTAAAACTATAGAGACAGTAAGAAGGTCAGTGGCTGCCAAGGGTTAGGGGGAGGCAGGGATGAACAGGTGCAGCACAGAGGATTTTAGGGCAGTGAAACTACTCTGTCTGATACTATAATGATGGATTCACGTCATTATACATTTGTCCAAACTCGTGCAATGTACAGCACCAACAGTGAACCCTAATGTAAATGGAGTAAATGGAGTGATAATGACGTGCCGGTGTAGGTTCATCGACTGTAACAAGTGTACCACTCTGGTGGGGGATGTTGATGGTGGGGGAGGCTGTATGTGTGTGGGGCTGGGAGTATAAGAGGAAGTTTCTATGCCTTCCATTTAATTTTGCTGTGAACCTAAAACTGCTCTAAAACTTAGTCTATCACACACACACACACACACACACACACACACACACCTCTTTCTGGAATGAAATCAGGCAGGATGGCCAGACCTCCTGCTGGCCTTGCATAGCTTGGTCACTGGCTTCGAGGGAGGGACTGCTCAGATACGGCCTCCCAGCCCCCAACCCAGGCTTCAGGAGTCCCATGGAGCTGTGGAGCTGAAGATGCCCACAGAGCACAGGCAGAGGAGTGGAGATGAGGGGGGTGGTGGGAGGGGGCTTTCTCAGAAAATACAGACAAACGAGAAAGCTCCACACAGCCTGGCCGTAGTGCTGACTCCATTAGTTGATGTCTGAAAATCCAGACCCAGCATGTACCCCAGGCAACAAACAGCACCCTGTTCTAATTTCTCTGTCCTACTCCCCTTAGCAGCAGCTACACTTGACACTCAGTCCACTTTACCTGCACCTGACCACCAACCCCCCAATCCCATTCTTTCTTTTTATTGGGCAACAGAAAGGATGGGCATTGAGATCATTGCTAAGGGCAGCTTGTGTGCATAATTTAACCACTGGCACCCTCTGGTGTTGAAAATCTAGACTTGTCTGTCCTAACAAAACAATTAGCCTGGGTTGGCAGGTCAGCAAAATAGAAATTGTCTTTGAAGACTTCTTTTTTTATTTTTAAAAACTTATTTTCTGGGCAAGCTGTGTAGTTGTCTTAATAGGTTAAAAAAATGCCAATGACATGTCAGTTAAAATGGATGACATGAGACCGACTGAAAGTGCTTTTTAAAAAAGTCTGGAAACAAGAGGGCAAAGCTGGCTGAGGCTGGGGAACTTGAGATGATTCAGGCAGCCACATGGGGCTCCTGGAGGCAGGAGGGTGATGCTGGAGGCTGCAGACCAGTAGAAAAAAGTGTACGTGCCACTTGGAATCAAAAGAAACCTGTAATGTGGGCTGAACAAACCACCTCAATGCCCCCCACCCCCACCCCATCACTATTGCTGGGCTGCCACTCATCGGCCTAGGCTGCCCATAAGGCTTCTCTTTCCAGGCTGCCTCTTGGTGTTCATTTTCAGCTGGTTTTGCCTGATGACTGAGCTGGGAAGAAACATAGCAGCCTTGCTGGGACTCTTTTGAAAGGGAAATCATTATTCTACCACTACCCAATTTTTCAACACATATTCGTTGAGCTCCTACTATGCGCTGGGTGGTGCCTCAGCAGCAGCAGGGTCATCCTGGCCTTCATTCATTTTGGTTTCCATGTTTCCACCCTTTTCATAGCTGAGATTAAAGCTAGGATTGCAACGAGGTGGGTCAGCCTGCTGGGACTTCTTCCAAAGCAAGCAGACAAGGTTCTGAGAACAATGACAGAGCCACGCCTGAGGAGACGGGCAGGCCCATGTGTGCCCGCAGAAGTGTCTTTGTGTTGGGGTGATTTGGCCCTTCGAGGTGGGCCATGGCAATGGTTTGACTCTACAACAGGTTATAGTCAGCCATGCCATTCTTGGAGATAGAGAATAAACAATTATGACTAGGAAATTGTCTAATTGTGCAAGAGAAGTTGGCAGTGATGGACTGCAGAGTCCTGGGCAGAAGACAAGAAAGGGAGGGCAGAGGGGTAGCTCCACCAGGTCACATGGGCTCCAGTTGTCACCAGATAGGGAATAGGGAGCCCTGATCACACTGGAAATGCCATTCAAAGCTTTCCAGAGACTATGACTGGCCAGCTGCCTGCTACCCAGCATTGCTCAGATGAAAACGCTGGCTGAATCTCTGGCGACCTGCCATGCATGATGGCGGTCACCAAGTCTTTATTTCTCTTAGACCCAGGCAAGAGGGGCCCCTGCTCTGGCCCATGCTGGCCTCTTATGGTCATAAGCCTCTCCATAGGTAAGGGGTCTGCAGGGGCAGAAAGACTTGAGGTTGAAAAAGAATCAAAAGAGAGAAGTAAACACAAGGGATGTGGGGACAGTGAAACTCCTCTGTGTGAGCTACTAGAAGGGTGGATACACATCATTATACATTTGCCAAAGCTGAGTGTCCATCCATTGATCCCCAATGCAAACTGTGGACACTGGATGGTCACGATGTATCAATGTAGGTTCAGCAATTGTCATAAATGTACCACTCTGGTGGGGGATGTTGATGGTGGGGAGACCAGTGTATGTGGAGGCAGGGAGTATATGCAAAGTCTCTGTACCTTCTGCTTCGGAGCTAGAACCGGTCTAAAAATAAAGTCTATTGAGAGGGGAGAGGCGAGGAGGGAAAAGGAGGGGAGGGAAGGGTCACAGGAGTAGGAAAGGAGCAAGGGGAAATGGCCTAGTCAGGATAACAGAAGAATAGGAGAAGGAAGATCTGTGAACTTTTGCTGGAGGCCCTACATTCTGAACAGCCTTTGCCTTCTAGTCTCCCTGTGGTCTGACTCCCTCACAGTCCTCTGGGCTCCGGGAAACAGGTACCCTTGCTCTAGGCAGCTTCATTCTCCCATTCTTTGCTTGAGAGTATTTCCTGCCAACAGAGCTGAATACACCGTCTCTGGGCCATGTCCTCTTATAGGGTCATCCAGGGACCCACAGCCTAGCAACGACGTCCAGGTGTCTGGGTTGCTTTCTTAAAATATCAGTATTTATGAGATGATTGCATCTTCATCTGAATTCCCTAGATAGATCAATAATTAATATATTTACTAAAACCCAGACATGGCCTCATCGGAGTCCCATTCAAAGCAGGCTCGGTGCTTCCCAGCAACTCTACTCAACTCTCCAAAAATTCAGCACTCCTCTGCTAAAAATATTCAAGATTACTGTCCATTCTCTTCTTACTCTTCCTTTGTCATAATGCCATTGAATGTTAGAAAGGATGCCAGCAGGCTCTGTTTCTCTCAGGGCTGGGTGCTAGAATCCTAGAAAGGAAGCCAGGAATGTCTGGAAATCTCACACAGGTCACCAAATGGGCAACAGTCAGCAATTCCTCCTGTCCTGGGCCCAGTCCTCCTCAGTCCCCACCACGGCCAACTCCAGCCTTCGCCACCCTCCTCATGCCTTCCACACCCCTACTTCTCACCTCGACTTCAAAAAGGATCTACTTCAGAAAATAAGGGAACGCTCATCACAATGCCCTCAACAGATTCAGGACATGGATGAGCATTTTGCCCCCTCACTCCTCTTGGACGCCTATCCCGGACACAGCAAGCCTATCTGTACCCAGGCCGCCCCTGAGGCATTCCCTCCACCTGGGAGGAGGCCCACCCCTCCTCTGCCCCTGCTGTAGCAATGGTCCCCTCTCCCTCCTGGCTCATTAATCTCTCCTGTCCCACCGTCTTTTCCCTAATTATACAAGACATTCTGAAAACGCTACACCCTCCATCCTCTAGTCACCTCTGCATTTGGGCTCCATCTCCACCATCCCATCGAGAGACAGCTCCTGCTGAAGTCACTATGACCTCTTCGTTGTTCAATCCAACCCCACGTTGCTCTCCCTACCTTAAATAACCTCTTGGCACCGCCCATTGCTTCCTTCTTAATTGTTCAATACTCTCTTTTTGGCTTCCACAAGGCCATTTCTCCATACCTTTCCTCCTGCTTCTGAGGTCC